CCCCCCCTCCAATGCTGCCCTCTACAGAATCCACCCCCAACACTCCAGGTATTTCCCTCCTTATAGCTGGCAACCCTACTTTCCCCTCAGTGCCTGTTGGTAGGCAACTAAGCTTGGTCCTGTCACCTACTTTGGCCTTTGGGAGAAAACATATTGGGGCCAATCCTGATAGGGTTGCCAACTCCCGATGGGAAATTCCTGGAGATTTGAGGGATGGAGCCTGAAGAGGGTGAGGTTTGAGGAGGGGTGGGACCTCAGACAGGTACAATGCCATAGACTCCACCCTCCAAACCACTCAGTCCCTTATGGGGAACCATTGTTGCCAATCTCCAGGTGAGGGCTGGAGACCACTCAAAATTACAATTGCTCTGCAGATGGGAGGGCGGAAGTCAGCTGAAGTCAAAGGGGCAGATAATGGTAGGTTGATGGTTAGCTGGGAAGGAGATGGGGTTGCCAACTCCAGGCTGGCAAATTCCTGGGGATTTGAGGGGTGGAGCCTGGAGAGGGTGGGGTTTGCGGAGGGGTGGGACCTCAGATAGGTAGAATGCCATAGACTCCACCCCCCAAACCAGCCATTTCATTCTGGGTAACAATTGTTGCCAATATCCAGGTGAGGACTAGAGATCACTCAAAATTACAACTGCTCTTCGGGTAGCAGAGATCAGTTCCTCTGGAGAAAACAGTGGACTCTGTCATTATACCCTGCTGAGGTCACCACAGCAAACTGACACTGTTTGCCCAAAGCCAGAGCACTCTCCCAGAGCCTCTTTCTAGATTTCGTTGTATTTATTTCCACAACGGGCCTTATTCCTAGTAAGATATAAAGTTATAGCTCCCAGGCCTCCTCTGTAACATATTAAGCACAGGAATCAACATACCTCGCACAACTAGAATAAATCATAATAATTCAAGCAGCTTCACATTTGTATCAAGAGAAGTAGTTGAGGCATTATTCCAGTGCCCTATCACGTGAATTAGTGACAATTAAGTTCTCTCATTGTTTGACAGAACAGATGCTGAAGTCCCATACCTATGACACCCAAGAGTTCTGTGGATTTTTCATAAATGTATTTACGAAATGTTAAAATAACCCAGATATAGTACAAATCAGCATCTCAAAAATGAGGCAAACATCTTCTAGAATACTCCAAAACAGAAAAGTTCAGTGTTTGGAATATGGACTCAAAACAGAGTAACTGTAAAGAGAAATGAACTAGCTTACAAAACCAACCACAGGTTTCTATAAGCCACTGATGCCATGGTGTCAATGCAATGCCTGGAGAGAGACCGTTCCTATCAGGGGCACAGCAGAGCTTTTACCACCTGCTCTGCTCCTCCCCTCCAGCCCAGCAACCTTAAAGGAAACTGGTTCCCGGAATGAAGGAAGTGCCTGGAGAGGGACTGCTGCCATCTGGGCAGAGATTTACCACTTGCTCTACTCCTTTGCTCCAGCCCTGCAAGTTTAAAGGGAGTTGCCACCTGGAAGGAAAAAAGAGGGAGACTGTTGCCATCAGGGGCAGAGATCTTACCACCTGCTATGTTCCCATTCCCTACCCTGTGGGTTAGTTTGTTGCTGCCAGGTAGGTTTGTTGGATTTTTGTATGTATTTATGTTTTTTTGCTTTCTTATATTGTAAGCCGCTTTGAGTCCACACTGGAGAAAAGTGGGGTTAAAAATATCCAAGCAAATAAATAAACAAAATTATAATCTCATGGCTACCCGCAAAGCCACACTGAATTGCTCTACTGATTTCTACAATATGGCATGTCAAACAAAAACAGTTCCTTCAAGGGGGAATTAATACTTCGTACTTGGCAAACTCCTTGTGCTATAGCTAGGCTGCGACTCATCTATCAGTGATTCTATTAAGGTAGAATTTACTCACTTGAGTTCGCATTGCCAAGCAAATTAGAAATCACCTTAAGTGTCTGTTTCGTGATGTATCCCCTTAGCTCAAGTGTGAGCAGGCAAAGGCTATAATCATTCCTTAAAAGCTCAAACGGGTGGGAGCTTGTGTGTTATGTACAGATCCCAACATCACAGGATTACTACCTATGGAGGAACTATACTGGGTAGAGGAAATAATTAATCTGATTATGATGCACCCCCCCCTCCCAGACACTCCCCAAAGACACTTTTCATCTTGAAAGTACAAGGGAAAGCTCAGCAATATAACTATTACCGAAGTCAGTGGCCTATCACACACCTCTTGCTTACTGCAAGACGATGCAGAACATTTTAGAAAAAAATTATCTTTAAAATTTCATACCACATCACCAGCAGAGAAAAACAGCAGGTAAAAAACAGACACTTAATATTTCTGTCACCTGCTTCTTTTCTTCTCTTATTCTACATACACAGAGAGAGATTTTTCCTGCAGACAAGGTTCTAGAATACCCCCCCCCCCATTTCTGCTGCAAATCAAAATCTGGAACACAGCCTGGCAATAGCAGTGTGTAAAAGAAGGATTATGCACTTTACTTTAACTGAAGTGGGAGGCAAGTCTTCCCTGTATGACTTGGAAGCAGAGGTAGATGGTTTCTGAAGACATGAATTCACTGTGGAATGTGTAGTTTCACTCTTATAGGGGAGGTACCTATTCCTAAATTCTAACCTCAAGGGAAGATATTCAGCTTCATGCAACCAATATACAAAATTTGCACATTTAGGGGTTTGCTTATCTGTAACTTATCTGTAATTTTTGTAAATGTTGTGTTTCTGGACATTGTGTCTTGATTAGTAATTCTACACTTTTCTTTTTTATTCTGTCCTCTGAGAGCAGCAATAAAATTTAACTTGAAATTCATGCAGTAAACTGATCTAGACGAGCTTGGCAGAGACACAACAAACTGAATTTCAAGGGGGGAAACTACATTTTTGCTAGCACTAGTATTTAGAGGGATATTGCCTCCAAATTTAGAGGTTCCACTTAGTCACCATTGTTACTAGACACTGATAAACTTGGAAAAGGACACTGCAGAACTAGAAAAAGCACAGAAGATTAAGGGGCTGGAGCATATTTCCTGTGGGGAAAAAGGGTGAATCTGGGACTTTTCATTTGAGAAAAGAGATGAGATGAGTGGGGAGAGAAAAGAGATGGCGGGGGACATGATAAAGGTTTATAAATTTTTGCACAGGGTAAAGAGAGTAGTAAGAACTTTTTTCCTTCTCCCAAAATACTAGAACTCAAGGGCATCCAATGAAGCTGAGGGGCAGTAGATTCAGGAAGGACAAAAGGGAAAACTTCCTTTCACAATGAGTGATTATTTTTTAAAACAATTTTAGTTTTATAAAAGACCACCAAAGACAAAAACAAACATACATACATAACATACATACGGAATTCACTGCCAGAGGATGCAGTGATGGCCACAGGCATAGACAACTTTCGAGGGAGATTAGACAGATTCATGGCAGACAGCTTTTTCAGTGGCTACTAGCCATGGTGACTAAAGGAAGCCTCCACATTCAGAAGCAGTAAACCTCTGAATAACAATGCTAGGAGGCAACATCAGGGTAAGGCCTCGGCTTTCGTGCCCTGTTGCTGGCCCAGGTGGGGGAAGGCGTGGGGAGAAGCTCTGAAGGCTGCTCTTAACCACTACACCACCCTGGCTGGAGCAGGCTTAAGAGTTCTCGAGAACACTTCATCAGTGTGAGACAGGATCTTGGACTGATCTAGCAGGGTTTTTCTTGTGAGCTCCATTAAGCTACAAGGGCAAAAGACGAGAAGGCTGGTGGGACAGCAGCAGATGAGAAGTATAAAAGAGAAAGATGGGAGAGAAGGAAGCAGATAAAAGAAGAAGTGGCAAAGCCTGCAAGTAGGAGGGAAGGAAGTAGCAGAAAGGAGAGGAAGTTTCCACCTGCTTGGTATTCCTAGGTCCCTGGTTGTGGCTTACTAAAGTTTACATCAGCTGCCTCTAGAACCTCTTCAACTCAAGAAAAAGCAACATAGTTAACAATTAAATCTTATGGGGAAAATAATCAGAAAGGCATACAAATTTGTTATACATGCCCCCCTCCACTCATGTCCTAGTTCCAGTTTGACAGACACTGCATCAAGCCATACCTTCCAATGGCAAACTGGCCTGCTGATGATCTGCAAGCAAGGAAGCCAGCCAGCCACCCAATACAGTAACCACCAAGGAAGCTTCCGCATTCCTGAGGGAACCTCTAACTATGCAGAAAATTGTGTTATGCCATTCTCCTGAAAAGGAGAGGTAACACATTCCCAAAATCAGACAGATTAAGACCCAACTGAAGGTCACACTCAATGGAAGTAAGCAACTTACTATAACTATTCCTATTCAAATTTAAGCAGATCTGTCTTAGAAAGGCTATGGGTATATTTGCCCCTCCATTCCTGCGGGACAAGGAACCACCTGTTCAATTCCTCTCCATCAAGAGCACATCCAACAAGCTTTGCAAAACAATCTGTATGCCCATATCACAATTTTTTTGTAACTATTGTAAAACTTGCCCTATAGGATTGGGATGGGTGGGAGTGGAGGGGAAGTGCAGGTTCCTTACCTGCATCTCCCCCGCCCCCAGGAAGCTACCCACCCAAGATAGTAAGATGGGAAATTCAGGCACATATGGAAAACAGCCCTACAGGCAGGCCTTGACAAATTTTCTTCGGATCTAGCAGCCATACCCAAAATTCAGGAGCTATTGATAATGAAGTGCCAGATAATACAGTTTTTACTCTAACTTTATCTGGACAAGTCTCGTGACCAGCATCTGTCACAGATGGCAATACAAATCCTCCTTCAGTTAGTAGGGAAACTGTGATAGTCATCCACAACCACTTTCAGCCCTTCTGGATGTTTGTATTCTCATGACTTGCAACATACCTAGGGAAAGATGGCCTGATCCTATACTTACCAGTCACTGGGTGGCAGAAGAGAGGAAGGCCCATCACCTAGCCAGCTGATCGCCACCAATCAACTCCCTCACTTGGTGCCAAAGCTTAAGCCATGAGCAAATGAGGAACTGGGCATTTTGCCAGTGCTGCAGCTTGCAACAACAGCAGCTGAAAAACCAGTGCCCTT